GCTTCGCCCGCTTCGCGCGCCCGCCCGGCCTGGGGCGCCTCCGGCGAGACTCGGGGGCGCAGGCGTCCACGTGCGCGTCCGTGAGGCTGCACGCCACCCGCGCGGGGAAAGCAGGTGGGTGCCGGGGGCTAAGGCTAGGGGCGGGGGGCGGGGAGGCTGTGACGGGCACCGCCCAGGCTGGAGACCCTTGCCCCTTCCTTTCTTCAGCGCTTGCACGTAAATAGCTGCTGAATTAAAAATAACGTCCCCGGCGTGTGGCCACTTTCTCCGGCCTTGCCTATCTGGCCTTGCAAAATAAACTCTCCTTGTAGCCGCGGGGGCTGCCCTATGGGTCAGGGGCACCCACCTCACTCCCCCTGGCCCCAGGACCCTGCAGGACTGGCAACCGACAGGCGGAGTGGCCTTTGGACAGGCACACTCTCCGATCTTCCAGGGGAAGCATCAGGGGCTATTTCCCTCATCTTTCTGGCTGGCTGGCTGGCTGGCTGCCTGTCTGTCCTTTGTTGCATTTTCTGTAGTCAAGGAGGAAGGAGGAGGTGGACAGCTGGTCTTCCCCCAGGGAAGGCAGGTCAGCCTGCGCGCTTTGCCTTCTGTTCTCGTCTCCTTCGATGTGCTTTCCCGGTTGGTGTTTGCTGCTCCCCTTAACAAGTAGCAGCTTGCTGCGAATGAGAAGTTCACTCAAAAATGAAGGTGCAGAAAGATAGAGGAGAGGAATGCGGGGAAACCGGATTGTCCAATTTTAGCCTGAATTTCGCTGTAAGGGAGTCACCATATGTTGCCTACATGCGAAGTGGGTTTTCTTTGTTTTTTTGGTTTTTGAGAAGTGTTTTGATTGCCCAAGTTAGGAAAAGACCAATGTGTGATACTCATGAAACAAGCAGTAAGGAGTCACTTTAAAGTACAAACTTTTTTTTAGTGTTCAGTTAGCCACTGTATAGTTCATCATTAGTTTTTGATGTAGTGTTCAATGATTCTTTAGTTACCTGTAACACCCAGTGCACATCACAAGACGTGCCCTCCTTAATACCCATCACCCTGTTACCCCTCCCTCCAACCTCCTCCCTTCTGAGACCCTCAGTTCGTTTCCGGGGTCTCTCATGGTTCGTCTCCCTCTCTGATTTCTCCCCCTTCAGATTTTCCTCCCTTCCCTTGTAGTCCTCCATGCTATTGCTTATGTTCCACATATGAGTAAAGTACAAACTTTTAACTCGACTATACCTCGAACCATAGCAGTTTAGAAATTGTGAGGGTCTTAAAGTCAAATAGTTCAATGCCATGTTATGGTGTTATCTTTATTGCTTCCTCACTGGGAAAGATGTTAGTTGAAATGCTTAGTGAAGCCTCCTGAGAGTTTAGCTAATGTGGTTTTAAGAGTTTTATTTCATGTTGGTGTTGCAACTTTATGAAGGACGTGTCCCAGTGTAGTGGTTAAGAGTTTGGGGCTAGAAAGACCTGGATTTCTGTCTGGGCTCCACCATCTAACTTGCTGTGTGGCTTCCAATGAGTTGCATAACCTCTCTGAGCCTGAGTTTCCTCATTTCTAATGGGACTGCTGAGCAGATGAAGGAGATAACACAAAATAGTGGTTCACACAGATTATATATCCGGGTAAGTACATAACAAATGATATTTGAGCCTGATGATGACAGTGAAGCAAGTGGTTAGGCCAAATATAGTCATTACATGGCCTTCACTGCCCAAGCAGGAGGTCTCCACGTGTGGCTCTGTGCATGGGGAGGTACAAGCATTATATCCCTTCTGGTCATACAAACACAAGGAGCTACTTCTGAACTCCTGAATTTGATTTAAACAAATAAAATCTGCCCTGAGCCCATTCAGATTTAGTGTATCTTTGTGTATTTTGAGATTCTCTTATGCTTTCAAATGTGAATAGTTTCAAATGCACACAACACTGGTATGCCACTCGTGGGGTAATTATTATTATTTTTTTAAAGATTTTATTTATTTATTTGACAGAGAGAGACACAGTGAGAGAGGGAACACAAACAGGGGAAGTGGGAGAGAGAGAAGCAGGCTTCCTGCTGAGCAGGGAGCCCAATGCGGGGCTGGATCCCAGGACGCTGGGACCATGACCTGAGCCGAAGACAGACGCTTAACGCTTAACGCTTAACAACTGAGCCACCCAGGTGCCCCTGGGGTAATTATTGTTAAAAATAATGTCCCTCAGGTGTCACCACAGTCCCTGGCTTCATATTGATTTGGGTAGATTGAAGGGTGGAATGGAGTCCTGAAGCTAATTTTTCACGTGGCTGTTTGGACTCAAAAGTGTGAGCCACAGACCTGTTAACCTGAAGCTTGTTATAAATGCAGGGTCTCCACCTGCACCCCACACCTGCTGAACAGAATCTGAGGTGAATAAGATCCCCAGGGGATTCATGCACGTGCCCTTGGAAAAGCCCCTCAGGAGTTTGAGTGCGCTGATGTTTCTCAAAAATAGGCCTTATGAAAACATGGACATCTCATAAGCTGTCTTTACATAGTGAAGTGAAAAAGATGTATTAATGTTTAAATGACTGATTTTTCTTTTCAGTATTAAAATAGTCAGGAATGGTAAGATCATTTGTTTTCTTTTTAGAAGTAAGACAGAGCCCTTATTTTAATTCTGCCAATTTCAGGTTCTAGTGTTCCTATTACCCCTGAAACATTCCAGTTTTGATACTGCGTAGCTTGTTTTATTCTTGTTCCTCCAATAAGAGGAAAACTCTGATTTTGAAGTTCTCACCCCATCGGTATTTTGAAGAGTGGGCTTGGTATGTCTGTCACTCCTGTTTTAAATCTTTTGCCAGAGGTATGTCCAAAAACTTAATTGATGCACTTAACTTATCAACTTTGATATGATATAAAATGGTAGCTCAAATAAGTCAAATACATGACAATAATTATTAATGACCTATATCTTCATAGGCATTTAAGGTACAACTACATAGTGTATGACTGAAATAGAAACTATTTTGCTGTACTTCCATTTTTTGAATTGTCATACCAGAAGATGTCATCAATATGTATGGGAGAATATAATAATATAGATAGATAGAGGAAGATTTTTACGGCATCCTTTTCTAAAATAAACTTTAGCTAAAGGCATAATTTGCATATAACAAAGGCATCAAACTGTACATTTAAAATCCGTGCATTTTTGTGGTGAGCACAGCATAACATAGAGTTGTTGAATCATTATATTGTTCACCTGAAACTAATATACTCAAAAAAGAATCTGTGCAGAAGTGCCTGGGTGGCTCATTTGGTTGAGCATCTGACTCTTGATCTCAGCTCAAGTCTTGACCTCAGGGTCGTGAGTTCAAGCCCCATGTTTGGCTCCATGCTGGGCATGGAACCTACTTAAAAAAAAAAAATCTATGCATTTTGTTATATGCAAATTACACTTCAATGAAGTTGATTTTTTTTTTAAAGATATCAAGGATTCCCATGATTTGTTGCCTATTGCCACAATAGTTCAGAGAAAGTCAAGAGAAGTCAATAGAGACAGAAAGTGAAGATTGATGCATTGGGCAGGCACGGAAAATAAATAGGCAAGTGCCTATGGAAAGATAAAGTTACATACATTTGGAAGGCTTGAGACCATTTTTATAGGACTTTTTATGTTTAAAGATAAGATGTTGAATTTAATATGGAGCACTGGGAACCCTGCAGAGTTCCTGAAGAGGCTAAAATGAGAAAAAGTTTTGCCCTGCAGGGTCTCCTGGCAAGCTCCAGCTACCTTCTCATATTCTGATCTGTGTCTGCCTTTTTATGCGGCAGACACCTGCGTTTGCCATGATGCTCTCCTCCAGCGACTTTGCATCTGCTTCTTGGGAGCTCGTCGTCAGAGTTGACCATCCAAATGAGGAGGAGCAGAAAGATGTCACACTGAGAGTGTCCGGAGACCTGCATGTTGGGGGGTTGATGCTCAAGTTAGTAGAACAGATCAGTAAGTTACTGTTTTTTTATGGTTTCCCTACATTTGAAACCCTCTCTATTGCACTAACAGTAAATGGCTGATCGAGGTTGTCTGATCATCTAAGTTTTTCTGCTTTTTTATCTTGTAATGGCTCAGAGAACAAGCCCCCTCCCACAGGAAGAAGAGAAATAGAGAATCTTACAAAAGCCATAAACTGAACCCCCCAACTACTCTTGTAAAAACTGGAGTCTCTGGTGGCAAACTAAAACTCCTCAGTAGGTATGAAACCATGTTTCCACAGGCTCATCCCACTGGTGGCATCTGAAGTGACTTTATGTGACATGGCATTAGATTACTGTGTCAATTCTCTTTGTTAATATGTTTGATTGCTCAGCGATGAAGTCCGCTCAGTGCTAATGTATCTTCTAACACATATCCACCACTTGCTACTCTTCCTGTTTAAACAAAGAAAGAGAAGTCTTAAGGGTCAGTCTTCACATCAGGAATCAACATGATCGACCTAAAACTTAATAGTGTTCTGTTTTCTCTTATTTGTTTTTACCTTCTACCCAAAGTTGTCCAGATGTTGGCTTTTCACTTACACTAATGAGATAGAGATTTTTTTAAGTAAGTCTTCATTAAAGTATAATATGTACACAGAGAAGTGCACTTATCATTAAGTGTACTGCTCAGTGAATTTTCACAGTCATATAACTTCCACTCAGATCAAGAAATAGAATATTACGGACTTCCCCCACCCAAGTAGCACATCTGACCCCCTCTCCCAGTCACTGCCCCATGAAGGGAAACCACTATTCTGACTTCTAACACCATAGGAATAATTTTACTTGTTTTTAAACTGCATATAGGTGTACTCATGTGAGGACATACTCTTATGCATCTGCTGTAAGATTTACCCATATTGTTTGTTTTGTTTTGTTTTTTAAGATTTTTTTTTTATTTGAGAGAGAGAGTGAGAGAGAGAGCATGAGGGGAGAGAGGATCAGAAGGAGAAGCAGACTCTCCGCTGAGCAGGGAGCCCGATGTGGGACTCGATCCCAGGACCCTGGGATCATGACCTGAGCCGAAGGCAGTCGCCTAACCAACTGAGCCACCCAGGCGCCCGAGATTTACCCATATTGTTGCATACAGTTTTGGTTCATTTACTCTCATTGCTGTGTGATATTCCATCGTATGATTATGCCACAGTTTACCCATTTACCTAGTGATGGGCATTTGGGTTGTTTCCATTTGCAGGCCCTTACAGATAGGGCTGCTATAATACATGTCTTTGGTGAGTAGATTTCTGTTGGGGTACAGCTCAGAGAGGAAATGCTGCATAATAGGACTTTCTAAAATAGTTACAGCATTTATATTTCTACTAACAGCATTGAAAGAAAGGTTTTCTAACATAAAGTGAGAGAACAAGAGAGAAACATTTTTTTAAAAAAACAAACAAAGATTGAATATTGGTTCCAGCATTGACAAAGGAAAAAGATTCAACTTTGCTCTCAGCATTGAAGGAGGGGAAAGAGTTCACGTTGACACTGACATTGAGAGAAAATATTCAGCTGATCTCAGGTAGACATTTTGGAAACTGGGAATCTGGTGGTGCTGATAAGAGAGCTGGTCATTATGCAGGGGGGGAATGTCGACTTTATGGTCCTTCTGTGCAGACTTTGGGAGTTATTGATATTCCTTTGTGATGCAACAGTGTAAGGATTCATTTCTTATAGGGAAATAATCTTGATTAAAGTCAAATGCTCCTGGCTTTCCCAGAAAGGACCATGCCCCTAAGGGATTTTAGGGAAAAGAACTCCAGCTATTTTATCAAGAACAAAATGTGTATGTTTCTGTTCCTTTCACTGTGTTAAAATATAATCATGATAAGGTTCAGTCTCTGTTTTCTACCTGCCCCACCTTAGAGACTTTGAAGAGAGTCCCAGGCTTGTGGAGCCTCGGGTTGTAAAAGGAGATGGGGAGCTGAAGACCATGGGTATGTTTCAGCTCTCGCACACAATGGAATGGACTCCAGAGTTCTCTCTCATTTCACTTCATCGTATTTTCCATTTTTGCAGACATATCCCAAGACTGGTCAGACTTTGCCCTCTGGTGGGAACAGAAACATTGCTGGCTTCTGAAAACGCACTGGACTCTGGACAAATGCGGGGTCCAGGCAGATGCAAAGCTTCTCTTCACCCCACAGCACAAAATGCTTCGCCTCCGCCTGCCAAATGTGAAGACAGTGAGGTTGCGAGTCAGCTTCTCAGCTGTGGTTTTTAAAGCTGTCAGTGATATCTGCAAAATCCTGAGTGAGTACCCTGGAGGGGCCCCACGCCCTTTGGACTGTTGGGCAAGGAGGACAGGAAAATTATGTGTGCTTTCCGCCTACACTTCCCTTACTAGGAACCATACTTTTCAAGCTTTTTCTGGGGACTTTAGCCATGTAAGTAGAGTTAAACCAAATGAAACATTATTGGAATAAATCAGGTTCATTTCCACAAAGCTTAACACTATTTCAAAAGAGATCTGTAAACAGAAGAAACAAACCCATTAAGATTTCCCCCCCAAAAAAAATTCATTCCTCTAAGCCATAGTAATATCATCATTATATTTAAGGCAAACAAGAAAGTTCCATTCCATCATCATCACCATAGAGCTGATATATCTTTATTGTTTTTGAGATAATGGTGTTTTTTAGTGTCTTAATTGCTTTATTAACACTTCACTGCAGTAAATATTCTAGCCACAAAAATTATTTGTGGAATTTATTTTAAGCAGGAAGGTACACTTAATTATGGATTGAAAACTAATTCTTATGGTTTTAACAGTCATTAGGAACAACACTGCCAAACCATGTATTTGGGGAACTTCTATAATGGAAGTGAACCCTGTGTCATGAAGATTTTCTTGTTTTATACTTTTTGAAAGTGTGTAGGTACATTCTTTGGTTCCAAGGCTAAGATTTAGCATTTACAATATCTGAGTGCGTAATCTCTCTTCCCCATTAAACTATAAACCGTTCATTCATTCCTTCAACAAATATATACTGATTAGGCAGGCATTGTGGCGAGTGCTAGGGATCGGTTAGCAATAAAAATAGTCCAAACCCCCTTCCCTCCTTGAGCTGACATTCTAGGATACAGAGACAGAAAAGAAAGAATGAATGTAAAAGTAATTTAAAAATAAGATATTAAAAGGAGATATGTGGTAGAGAGAAAAAGAAAAACTCTAACAGTATATGCAGGATTGGGAGTTCCAATGTTGGTCAGTGGGGACTACTATGGTATTAAATAGGGTGAAGACAGAAACCATTACTTGAGCATGCCCAGGTTCCTAAGACCTAGCACAACACCTCGCACACGTTCGTTGCTCATCAACTGTTAAGTGAACAAGTGAATGGAACCTTCCATTACAGAGCTCACCAGCAGTGCCCCTGGTGCATGATGGGCAAATGGCAAGTAGCAGGGCATGTTGTTTCCAGCAATATTCCAATGACGATTGGAAAACAAAGGAAATGATGAAATAAAACCCAGGCCACAGTAGACTGGAAACACACATTGTGGCCGGGACCAAAAACTTGAGGCTGCAAAATATATAGAAGCAGTCAGATGTTCTTCTCTTTTCCAGATTATATCTTCATAGTAGTTCTAAAGGGCTCAACCTGGCATTTCTAATCATTGTATTTTATATCTGTTCAACTGAAGCTAAATCAAATTTAGCAATATGATGGGTTTTCTCACAAAGAAAAGACACAAATCTTGGGCTTGGAGATGCAGGTTTGGTTTGGTTGTTTTGTTTCTAATGCTCCTACTGGAAATTCTGATTCATCTCCTGGTCTCATGTATAAATTATGCATTTGGAATGGGCACAGGTGTGTGCTGCCACCTGACAATCAAGCATCCTTGGTTACAGGGGAAGAGGATGGAGCTGAACTGCTAGCCTCAGCCTCGGCACTAAGCAGCGTTTGAACTGAAAAATGGCCAGACCTCTGGCATCAGTGCATTTGCCTCCAGGAAAACTGCTTTCAGACTCTAAACATCCACATTCCTTAGCTTTTACTTGGAATCACATAGCAGCTCAGTGTGGTTAATGGTTATCAGGAGTTCTGATTAGCAGTGGTGGTTATAAATATATTTAACTAATAGAGAAAACTGGGAATCATCTTGGTTTCGTTGCTCCAGAAGCAGACCCTGAGATAAGAATTCAAGGACAGGGCGCCTGGGTGGTTCAGTTGGTTGGGCGACTGCCTTCGGCTCAGGTCATGATCCTGGAGTCCCTGGATCGAGTCCTGCATCGGGCTCCCTGCTTGGCGGGGAGTCTGCTTCTCCCTCTGACCCTCCCCCCTCTCATGTGCTCTCTCTCTCATTCTCTCCCTCTCAAATTAAAAAAAAAAAAAGAATTCAAGGACAAACAGTTATGGGGGGTGGGGTGATTCCAGAAAACACTGGTTGGGGGGTGAGGAAGTAAGACTGGAAAGAGAAGGCCACCCATAAGAGAGTGTCACCAATCCAGTCGCATTTGGGGGCTTCTGGGAGATGATGTCAACATGCCTCAGGACTAGCCCACCCAAGGGGCGAGGGAGCGGGAGTGTTAATATGCCACTCTCGTCAGTCATTGAGGGCTGCTTTTGGGGAGTGTTAATTCTCTGAACTTGTGTGGCCTTTTGCATCAGCATTTGGGCAGTGCAGACTGTGGCATCCAGAGCAAGCCCTCAGGCAGAGAGATACTTGTCCTAGCTGCCACCGGAAGTCGCCTCAGAGTGCACGGAAGTGGTGAGGGCCACCAAGAGATGTGCGGGGCACCAATGCTGTCTGCCGTAGGGATGAAATTAGCGACTGGGCCCAGTGTAAGAGAAAGGCTTTCAGGATCTATGTTCTATAAAGAAAAAGGTGGGATTCTTGGTTGTTATTTTAGGGAAAAAAACTGAAAAAAGAGGAAAAAGAGGGAGGGAAAAATGGGTAGTAAATAGATAACGCAAGAACAGCTAAATGTTGGTAGTGGTTGAAGCTGGCTGATAAAAATATGAGGGTGCCATTATACTATTCCCTTTGCTTTGGATATCTTTGAAATATTTTCATAATAAATTAAAAAACAACTAGTAATTTTATTAGACTAAATCTCCCTCCACTCTTTGACACCCCCCCACACACACACACACACATGCACCCATTTTAGGAGTCTCTGGTCCCCTTCTATTTCTTCCAAAGGGATATAATTTAGTTCCATCTACTTCTCAGGAATTTCCTGAGAAATGATTTCAGATGCCCAGCATGACTCTGGGTCTTAGAAGGAATTTTCTTTTTACTTTTTTTTTTTTTAAGTTTTATTTCTTTTTAGTAATCTCTGTGGCCAACGCGGGCTCGACTCACAACCCTGAGGTCAAGAGTCGCTTGCCCCTCCAACTGAGACAGCCAGATGCCCCCTCTCTTTACTTTTTGATAGTTTTTCATTCTTCTTTATATTTGTTTGTTAGATATCAGACGATCAGAAGAACTTTCCTTGTTAAAGCCTTCTGGTGACTATTTTAAAAAGAAGAAAAAAAAAGACAAAAGTAACAAGGAGCCCATCATTGAAGATATTTTAAACCTGGAGGGTTCTCCAACGACTTCAGGTCCACCAGGTATGATTCCTGACAGCTGTTTTATTGTTGTGTTTCATTCTTGAATCCAAGGATTTCTTAAATCCCAAGAACTCTCCTTCCCTCTGCTCCTCTTTCCCTCGTCTTCTCTTCCCTCACCTCCCTTGCCCCAAACAAAGAAGGACTAAAATTGCAGGATTCCTGTGAGGAAGAAAGGATATGCAATTACTTTTAGAACTCACAGAATTTTTTTTAATAAGGTTTGTTTTATAGCTCATTATTTTTTTTAAGTGGGCTCCATGCCCAGCACGGGGCTTGAACTCACGACCCTGAGATCAAGAGTCACGTGCTCTACCAACTGTATAGCTCATTGTTTTAACTGTGTATATTATGTTGCTGATGAACGCAAAGCTTTAGGGGAATTGGCTGTGAATTTGGGAGGAAAAGAGATTAGTTGGATCACTCAAACCATACTTTTCTCTTCCTGAGTCTGTCTTCATGTGACTCTTTCCTGAATTCAATTTAAATTTTGCATCGGGCATGTAACAAGTGGGCAGGTAAAAATTCTGGAAAGACACTATCCTTATCTTTTTACATAAAAGCAAATCAATCTCTAGCTTGCTTGCGACAAAGGTCTTCTTGCATAGTATATTCCAGTGCAAAGAATAAAAAGCATTTTTTGCATTTTCCTTACACAGACCATGTGATTTATTAATCATCAACTAGCTGGATTCTTAAAATTGGCAAGTACTATTATTTGTTTAAAGGATTTGCCCAAAAATATAGTCTGTATATGCACTCTTGTGAGATCTTCTGTTCTCTGATGGTGCCAAAACTCACTGCTGAAATAGAATTTTGAATTATTGACAAGGAGATAGTCCCCAGCATTTGCCTGTGTTGGTTTTAGAAGCTTTTACGGCCTGTGAGTTCTCTGCCTTTTCAGGCGCTAAGAACTCCTCTCCCATCAGCCATAACTTACTTAAATGTTACAGACATTTAAATTCAAAATCCATTTTAGTATAAGCAATGTTAGTACCTATTTTTCCAAAGATGCCTCCCTTGATCTTAATATTCTTAAGATCTTAATGATCTTAATATTCATTAAGATATGAATCTCATATCATAGTGCATGCTTCCCTTTGCCTTACAGTCAGCCCTGGCTTGTACAGTAAAACCATGACTCCCACATATGACCCCATCAATGGAACGCCGGCGTCCTCCACCATGACTTGGTTCAGCGACAGCCCTTTGACAGAACAAAACTGCAGCATCCTCGCATTCAGCCAACCCCCCCAGTCACCAGAAGCGCTGGCTAATATGTACCAGCCTCGGTCTCTGGTTGACAAAGCCAAGCTTAACGCAGGGTAAGGACATGGCTCCGGTTTGCTTCTCTCTCACATGTTCCTCTATTATGAGGCTCACTCACCCCCACTGGACTGTCCAGAGATTGTATCTCAGTCATCTTTATTTCCCCCCAAAGCCTGGAATAATAGACATTCAGGCCATCTTCACTCCATGGGACTGGATGGCATTCATCCCCGCCTCATTCTGTTGCTCACTTTTATTCTCCACCCCTCACCACCACCCAGTATTTATTTTTCAGCTCTAGAACTGCACCATCCAATACAGGAGTCACTAGCCACGGGTGGATATTTACATTTAAATTTGAATTTAATTAAAATTAAAGTGTGGCCCTAGCCACATTTAAATCTGCAGTAGCCACATGGGACTAGTGGGTACCCTATTGGACAGGGCAATATAGACTATTTCCACTGTTACAGAAAGTTTTAGCCAATACGATAGACCCAGCATTGAGTCAGACCAGCTTGTGTAGAAGAGAGGCAGTGCGGGAAGTCAGCAAGTACAGATTTTCATTCTGGCTCCACGACAGGGCACGTGACCTTGAACACGGCACTTAATGTCGCTAAGACTCCATTTTCTCACCCATAAAACTGAGAAAATATGAACCGCCTTGGCCCTTCACTGGGTTATTTTAAGTATCGGTGTAAACAAAATATACATACAAAAAGCACTTGGAAAGTTATAAAAGCTATAAAATTAAATGCAGATATAAGGTATTACCAAGTCCTCTCCCTTACAGGTTTTTGGTTATATTACTTACTCAGACTTTGTTCAAGGAAATACACACACACACACATACACATGTATGTGTACATCTACATCTATATGTATATAAGTGTGAATACATGTATATAAGTGTAAATATGTATATAAACATATTAGGTAATACTCTAATATATGTGTGTAAAATTGATTGACTTTTAAAACTCATCCTGTTGTTTTCTAGTTGGCTGGACTCCTCACGTTCCCTTATGGAGCAAGGCATCCAGGACGATGAGCAGCTACTGTTACGATTTAAATACTACACGTTCTTTGACTTGAATCCCAAAGTAAGATACTTTTTATCTTCTTTTTTTTTTAAGATTTTATTTATTTGAGAAAGAATGAGCAGGGAGCAGGGGTAGCGGCAGGCAGAGGGAGAGAGAGAGAAGCAGGCTCCCCACTGAGCAGGGAGCCAGATACGGGACTCGATCCCAGGACCCCAGGATCATGCCCTGAGCCGAAGGCAGACGCTTAACCGACTGAGCCACCAGGTGCCTCTTCTCTCTCTCCTTTTTTCAATGTGAAGGCCTGGAAGTGGAAAACTGAGTCATTTAGTTCTCAGAATTAGGGTTAATTTGTATAATCTTCTGTTTAGCTCTGCAGGGTTAGACCAATGAATATATACTGTCTTTGGATTTTCGTCTTTAAGTTTCTAATGAGCATGGTCAGCTGCCCCTGAGTTAGCAGGAGTCTCTTGGGGACTTCCTGCCCAGCATGGTGTGCACTGCCCCTCTCCATCCACACGATCAAGGAACAAGAGGAGAGTGGCTCACAGAGCTGAAATCTCCTTCTAGGAAGGAAGGATCATCAGAGCCAAGGTTAAGAGCAGGCTCTCATGAATAAGACAGGACTCCCCACTGCAGGGCTGAATAAGTCTTTGGTAATGAGAGAGAGGGATCATCTGTAAAAATAAAGACCCCAGCTGGTCAGCAACTCCCATTAAGTGCCCATCTGCCACCTGAAGTTTACTAGGACAACTGAGTAGTGAAATAAATCCTCTGAATTTCTGCCCCTTCCTTGGCCCTGCCTGGCCTGTTTGTGGAGTTGTGAGTCAGCACTTAACCTGCCAAATGTCAAGAATATAAACTGAGTCACGGGCCCTCCAAGTGCCCCCTTTCTCACCCACAACAGTGATTCTGCCTCTCGTGGCACTCTCTTCTCCTTGATCCCGATGTTAAGTCTGGTCTTCAAAGGTGCATCTCTGGTCCCACTGGCATCTTCTTCAAAATGAGCCTTGTTCCTGGTCAGTCTTTGCTTTAGATCCTGGTTTAATGCCCCTGGACCTAGCTTGTTTCTGGAGTGCCTAACTTCCACCGAATTATGGCAAACGAGCAAATTTTGGCTCTTTGATAAAACCTTCAGGAGAAACTACTCTACAGCTTCTCCCAAAAGGGAGGGGTTTTTTTGTTTTGATTTTTTTTTTCAAGGGTGCTATGAATGATCATATTTGCTTAATTGGTAAGGAGTTCTCTCCACATGGCTCATGAACGAAACCTATTTGAATCTAACAGCCAAATAGAAGCTGTCAACCCAAAGGTGACCAGAAGACTCAGGCTTTGGGGATATGACTTTGGGGCACAGGAGAAATGATCCCCAACCACTTTAGAGTTCCCTTCTCCCTCCTTCAAAAGTATGGATGCTATAAATATAACCAGGTTTAGTTCCAAGTTTCTACTAGGTAGATAGAGGGATACAGAAACTTAAGATGCGCTTTATGTTTTCATAGAATCTACAATCAAATCAAGAGCAAAGATAGCACCCATGAAACCTTGTAAAACAGACAAGGCACCTCCAGATGGGAACCAGACTGTATAGTAGAATCGAGGAGTGTCTCCTCTCCAGCTTTCAGCAGAGAGATGCAGGCAGGCAGTGACACCAGGGTTACAAGTACTGATTAAAATCTCAAATTTACAAAAATACTAGAATATACAAAATTTCAAAAAATAATATACCCTAAAAATGCAAAATCCAGAATCCAAAAAAAGATAGGTGCATTTTCATAAATTAAAATTTTATGCATGCCAAAAAACCATATACAAAGAAAAAAGGTCTTTGCAACACATACTACAAACAAAAGGCTAATTTCCCTAATAAAGAGCTTCCGGAAATCAATAAAAAAAAAAAAAAAAGACCAACAACCCAGTAGCCTAATGAGCAAAGGATACGAACACATAGTTCACAGAAAAGGAACTAGAATGGCTTTTAGCCTTGTATTGGCAAAGATCAAGAAGTTTCATACACTATCTTAGCAAGAGTGTGGGGAAAATGGCTCTCTCGTACCCTGCTTATAGATCAAAGTACAAATTAATCTGATCCTTATGGAAGGCAATTTGGCAATATCTATCAGAATTACAATTCTACATAGCTTTGATGCAGCAAATCCACTCCACTGTATTTACACCACAGTTATACTCAAATATGTGCATTAATATGTCTGTACACAAGAACAGTTATTGCTACATTATTTGAGGAAGAAAATTGGAAACTACCTAAACATCTATCAGTAGGGAAGTGGTTAAGTACATTATGATACACCTATATAGTGCTGTTGCTAAGAAGAATGAATCAGCTTTCTTTTGATGTAGAACATATTCAAGGTATATTATCGAATGAAAAAGAACAAGGTACAAAACAGTCCGGAACAAGGAAGAGAAGGAGACTAACTTTTTATTGTACCTTCTTTTGTCCCTTGAGAATTCATTCAGAATGAATTCCTTCATTATCTCTTATTTTGCCCTATTTGAATGTGTGAATAAAAATAACTTATAACTCCAATAATCAAAGTATTTTTTTAAATGTTCAGTAGAGAAAAGGAACAACAATTTTAATAAGAGTCCTGGAGATACTGAAACCTGCCTCCCAGCTAAATGGGAATCCTCAGTGATTAGATCTCCCTGGTGAGAGAGTGAAACTCTGGGAAGCAGGTCTTGTTATTTGTTTATATTGGTGGTTGTGGGAAGGAGAGAGGGGTTAACCTAATTGCCTGGATGAAGAGAAACAGGGATTCAGGCCATGGAGGTGGCAGAAACCGTGTGCTTCCCGCTCTGGGATTTCTTTTTTTTTTTTTTTCTAATTTTTTTTTTAAGATTTCATTTATTTATTTGACAGAGACACAGAGAGAGAGGGAACACAAGCAGGGGGAGTAGGAGAGGGAGAAGCAGGCTCCCCGCTGAGCAGGGAGCCCCATGCGGGGCTCCATCCCAGGACCCTGGGATCATGACCTCAGCCAAAGGCAGACGCCTAACGCCAGTCTGGGATTTCTATTTTCAGTAAACTGGAAGACAAAGGAAATCGAGAGCCAAGGAAGGGCGAGAGTAGCCAATCCCCACCAAGGGGAAAAATTTGTCTCTAAGTCAAGGAAACCACTGACAGAGTTCTCAGAGAGAAAAAGACCTACTGGGGTGCCTGTTAATACATGACCCATGAAAACCTGGGACCTGTGATGTTCTTCTAGAGCCTCGGGGGGAACCTGAACAAGACTCCAGAGAAGAAAATCCAGAGTTCTGCTGGCTGCCACAGAGAAATCCAGTGTTCCTCAGTGGGAGCCAGGGCTTATCCTGTCCTTTATAACATCTTGTACTAGATCCTGTTCTCCTAATGTCAATTTGCAAATATAGGCCAACTTTTGTTTAACCAGCGTTCTTTCAAGGAATTGTTTTATTTGGCTTTGGGGGGTGCTAGGGGAATTAGGTTTGTTCAGGTGTGGAAGCTTTGTAAATCTTTACTGACTGCATTTGAGAGAAAAGCCTGATCGGGTGATTTAACTTACTCTCACTAAAACTCCTGCAGCATTAGAATTGTAGACACTATGACTGACTGGTGGACAGACAGAGACAGACAGATAGGACAGTCCAATTCAAATTTTAGTGGCTGCACATACTATTTAGATTTTGTCTTTAAACTGTTCATGAAGCAGGAGTCTTTTGGGGGGGGGGCAGGGGTTGCTTGGTTTTTGGTGTGTGTGGTGTGTGTTTTTTTAGTTGTTGTATCTTGATTGCCGTATCATTTACATGCCATAAAATTCTATTATAATGATTGTAGTGCATTCATATGGTTGTGCAACCATCACCACAATCCAGTAGTAAAACACTTGCATCACCCAAAAAAGTTTCCTCATACCCCATCTGTGGTCAGTCTGGCTCCCAGCCCCAGCCCACCACTGGTCTGCCTTCTGTGTCCAGGTTTGCCTTTTCTAGAAGTTTCCTATAGATGGACTCATACAGTATGTCATCTTGTGCGTCTGGATCTTTCACTCAGCATGTTTCTGAGGTCCCTCTGTGTTTTTACGTGTATCAATAGCATGTTCCTTCTTACTGCTGAGTGGCGTCCCCTTGTGCATGTGGCCCACGTTTCGTTTATCCATTCACCAGCCGAGGCACCCTGGAACGTTTCCAGTTCGGAATTGTTATGAACAACACTGTTGTGAATATTCTCACGTGTGTTCTGTTTTGGTTTGTTTGGGGAGGGTCCTGGGGCTAGCTCCTGTGGTGTACCCTGCAAAGTTCACAAAGCAAAGACAGACTCTCTTAAGGTTCTTAGTCCTCCAGCTTCCTGAGGTCCACTCACATGGGTTCGCATTTGTCTTGCTTTGGCGCTGCTGAGAAGGAGCATGCCTCTACGATAGGCCCCATTTCCCGCTGACCTGATAGCAATGCTCTTTGCTGGTTTGGGCTTGCTACAGATTTTTACATCCCCTATCACCTTTTTTCTCGTGTGTATAAGGTTAATGCAAAAGGAAAAATAAACTAATGCTTATCAACCTGTGATAAATCTGTTTAGGCACTCTTTCTATTCCTCCTCCGTATTTTCCTCACCTTTTTTCCTTAAGGATACGGTAAATCGTATACTCGGGGGAAAAAATAGGAGTTACGGTTTAATCAGTACAGAGTTGCAGTTTTGCCAGATGAAGAGAGTCCTGTAGACAGGTGGTGACAATGGTTTTTCCTACAGGTAGAAATGTGATAAAAGAGAGGGAGAAATAATGGAATCTGAGATGGGTGAGTTTGGCCCCTTGAAGAAGCTCTAGAAAATAATCTTGACAAAACAAGTTCTACGTTCAGAAGTAAAATGAGCTGGGGCAGTGGAAAGATAGGTATTTCTTTCACTTACCTGAGCGAAAGTTTACTGCATTAACAAGGAATGGCCTCCGTGTTTCCAGAGTTTTCATACGGAGGAATATAAATACGTGGCCCTCCCCAACACATACACACCTACCTGTTTCTTTCTTCAGTACGATGCTGTCCGAATCAACCAGCTCTATGAACAAGCCAGGTGGGCCATTCTCTTGGAAGAAATTGATTGCACGGAAGAAGAAATGTTGATCTTTGCAGCACTGCAGGTATGGGGACTCTAGTACCTTCTCTCTGGAAGAAAACAAAGCAGATTTGTTTTCTTCAAGTTTCATTTTCTTCATACTGTTTCTTTTCTTTGAAGAAAGAACTCAAAGTGAGGGGAGTCCATTTCAATTTAAAATTTTCCTCATAACCCCCACACGCGCCCATCTTCTATAAGGCATTAGTCTTGCAATTCTTATCTCATCCCCACTACAAGCTGAACCAGTGATGAAGAAGAATCGAGTTTGACCATGACTAACCATACCTCTCAAAATAATTCAGATTAAAATGTCATTTTCCCTTCAGAGGAGGGAGACGTCTTTCCAGGAGACATTCGGAACTACAGGGGGGATTGTCTTCAAAAAGAGAAAGGGCTGATGGATACATGTGTGTTTATAACATTTCTAAAACCTCTGTTTGCATCATAGTATCACATTAGCAAACTGTCGCTGTCAGCTGAAACACAGGATTTTACAAATGAGTCTGAGGTGGACGAAGTAGAAGCTGCACTCTCTAATTTGGAAGTGACCCTAGAAGGTGGAAAAGCAGACAACGCTTTGGTATGCACTTTTCTGGTAACTCAGAACAGTGGCTGTGTTCTCATGGACTGACACGTGTAAATGAGCTCTCTTTTATGAGAAATAAGAGAACCTTGTGTCTGATTTTGAAAAAAGAAAACATACTTGTCACAAGCTTAAAGCTAGCAAGACCTGACTGGCTTTTCTCGGGTCAGTTCTGGAAGGGACAATGAGATATGTTCAATGCTGTTAATGGGAGTACGTTTATATGTATTTCTTAGGGAGAATCTGTGGGGTATGAGGCAAAGGCACCCACCACCAGTGGCTTTTCTTCACTCGCAGGGAATATGGAGACGGTCCCTCCCCTCAGGTCTAGAGAGAACCACCCAGCGTGTTGTATGGCTAGCTGTGAGCATGGACAAGATGCTTCACAGATACAGAGCCTATTACCTATTTACCTAGTCATTCACTGCAACTGGGCAAGGTTGACACAGTGAGGGCCTTTATTCTGGGACACTTTAAAAAGCCCCTGAACCCTTCTGACTTCAGGAAATAGACAAAAATCTTCCAGTGAGACATAAAGTCATACAGCTATTTTGTCATCTCCTTATCCCTGAAATGTGGCTGAATGGCGGCTTTATGACCGGCATGCCTCTCCTGTTTGATTCACCTGTTGAGTGCCACCCTTTTGTTTAACTAACTACTTCAGTCATGGGAGTAATTATTAGTTTAGTGCACATTGAATCAGAGAGGTGGATCTATTGTAATTGGATATAAATAGTAAGAGATAAAAATGAGTCACTATATTTTTATGGATTTAATGCATGTTTCCTTATGATTAATTTCCTTAAAATGGGAAGTTGGTATCATGCAAAAGAAAATACTTCATACAAACTAAATGCCAAGATTCTGTAGAGATTCAAAGCCCTGTCTCACATTTATAGGAGACACCAGGCTCATTGAATTTGAGTGTTCTCACTTGTTGACTTCCTCCACTGAATAGATAGACTGTGATCCTTCTCAGAATAAATGGAAAATTCCCCCCTCCCTTCCTCCCTCAAAATTTTCATGTGATGCTGAACAATAGGCTTTTCATTTAGAAAGTAGACACCAGCCTACACCGCACAATGAACTTTGAACCGGGTTCCTTTTGAGAAGTTAATCAGTGAACTAGACGTAGCTAGATTTACTCCCTCCAAGGTAAAATTTGTAAAATATTTTGTTTGTACATAAAAGTAGCAGTTTCTAGCTCAAATTTTTAACTTGAATGGTAGTGCTTGGTCAATTTTTTAAATCTCTTTTTTCATTTGTGTGACACATGACACATACAGAAAAGTGGGGGAAAAGTGTACAGCTTAACAAATTTGTATTAACACCCAAGTCACCACCCAAATCAAGAACTAGAACTTTGCCAGCCACCCAGAAGCCCCTGCATGTCCGCCATCCCCCCGCCCACTCCTCACCCACTAAGGTCACGACTAGAAATGTGGCTCGTGTGACTGAGGGACTGCATTTCTCATTAATTTAATTTTAATTAATTCACATTTTAATAACCCCATGTGGTGAGTGGCTACAGTATTGGGCAGTGCAGGTATAGAGTATCAATACCACCTAATTAACTACTTATGAAATGTTATCTGTTTTTCCTTAGGAGGACATTACTGATATCCCTAAACTTGCAGATAATCTCAAATTATTTAGGTAAGTCACCCTCAAAGGGGAAATGGATTACCCCTAACAAGGCCTCACAGGTAAAGAGTCCAGGAATTTAAATTGAACCCGTGCTAGGCAGGTTCCTGGTTCAAAGGCAAGAGCACGAGCTTTGGCATCACACAGACGATGGGCTGAATCCCAGCTCAACAACACATACTAGCTGGGGTACCTCGGGCATTGTCATGTGCCTGAGCCTCAGTTTCCTGATCTATAAAATGGGGGCATACCTCCTCTTGGGTTTATTGGGGGGATTGAATAAGATAACATATATGAAGCATTGAGCATGGTACCTGGCTCATAGTACGTGCTCAATAAATAGTGGTGTAAACACGGCCGATGTCAGCAGTTAGTGAACAAATATGCTAGACTGGTCATCTGTGAGGCTCAGGACTTGACACCATTCAAAGGTTCTTTCATGGTTGAAAAATCAGTTGTCTCTAGAACTTTGGTCCTGGGCTTATCCAGAGTAGTCACCTCAGTTTATCTACCTTTGCCTGTTAAGTGTTTCTGATAAACTCCCCAGTTACCTTACCTCAGATCAATCTGAAACTGTTAAAAAGGCAGAGGAGTTTTTTATTTCGTGGAAAGAAAGAAAACATTTGTGATGGTGCCAGGGTGCGTTAAGATGAAAAGAATAAGGCCCCTTTGAAGTTCTATCAGTTACTCATGTCACTTTATGGTTCATTGACTTTTCTTAACACACTGACACTTCAGTGGGTCAGTTGGCTTGAAAAGAAACGCAAGTTGTTTTGGGAACACGTGATGCAAAGAAAGACTTAGAAAGAGTGAACAGTGAATCAGGTATAAGTGAGAAGCATCCAAAAGTAACCATTTTTGTCACTAGGTTTCTACAGGTTGCTTTTTTTTTTTTAATGTGGTCTCAAACAATAGGATCATTAATTTAACTTTTATGGCATAAATGGTTGCAACCACATATATTGTTATAGTCAGAGCTACAGAAAAAAAGTAATAATTTGAATCCACGAATACATCTTTATGATTTTTTAATAATCATTCTGTGAAGAAAGTAAGTTGCCATATTCTCTATCTAGAGCAAATCTGGCTCTTCACAAACCAAATAATGGCCCTTCCCTTCCTATCAATGTTTTCAGTGAAGGAGATGACATTCCAGAGTTAAGCCCTCCATCCACTTCACTTTAATGTGATTGCTTTGCTCAAACACACAAAATTGTCTTCTGTTTCACAGTGGTCGCTATATCTACCAAAGGTCTGAAGATATTGACTTTAATAGACAATATAGTTCATGGAGGAAGCAAAGAAGAAAGGAGACAAGAAGGGGGGGAAGGAGAATGGAGAGTGGAGCTCCACTCCTACTTATTAGCGTGCGTAACCCTTAAAGGCCCTTCATTTCCTTGGGCTTCCTTTCCTTATCAGTAGAAGAACATTGAGCTAGTCCTGTGAACCATTTTTTTTTTTTTTAGATTTTTTATTTATTTGTTTAAGAGAGAGAAAGAGAGAGAGAGAGAGAGCACATGAGAGGGGGGAGGGTCAGAGGGAGAAGCAGATTCCCTGCTGAGCAGGGAGCCCGATGTGGGACTCGATCCCGGGACGCCAGGATCATGACCTGAGCCGAAGGCAGTCGCTCAACCAACTGAGCCACCCAGGCACCCCCTGTGAACCATTTTTAACCTTTTTTTTTTTTTTTTACAGTGAAGCTCTTTTTTTTTCTAAACAAAATCTGTTGAACCCGCTATATAAACAGTAGACTTCAGTTTCCAACAACTGATCTAAATGCATCTGATCTAATGCAAACTTCAGTCTTGCTATAAATATGCGTGAGTGCTGGATAAAGTAAAAATAAAGGAATTGTACAAGGTTGAGGTGAGACCAGGGAAGTCCAGCTTGCAGGAAATGCAGAGGGAATCTAATTCTACATATGAAGCCTCAGATGCAGAGAGGGATTTGGGCCATGACATAGATTCTTATGGTTTGGGGCTGAGATTTTAATCCCTGTGAGAGGAGATGACACTGTAGGCCTATTGTAAGGTACTGACAAGGACTGAAGCCCGTGCCTAAAGGCAGAAACTTGCAAGGGTGGCCTTCTCTGTTTAACAGGGAGTAGAAAAGCTGTCCATCCGCGACAGAAAGCAGTGAGGAAGTTCATCCTTGCATGGGGTCCTACATGGGGAAATGAAAAGTCCCTCTGGAGGAAATTGGAGCCAGGTCCTTTGCCACACATGGATGTAGATCTAAATTTAAATGTCTTATATGATAAGTGAATTCTGAAAAAAATAAAATAGAAACTGGCCCAGGACCACAAAACCTGTGAAGCCCTAGCAAGTGTAATTACAAAACTATCTGGAGGGAAATATCCACAATCTAGCATGCATGGGCCTTCTAGAGGAAAAAATAAACCCCTAAAAATTGAGCTCCTGATAAAAAGTACTAACCATGTGAGCTCATGTACCATCGTAAAGGAAAGACAGCCAACCCAACAAACAAGAAGATTAGCAGTTTCAATAATTTTAGGTAATAGAACAATCTGAGAAAAACATAAAATGAGTATGTTTCGAATCCTTATGGAAATTAAAAGATAAATATCATCATGAAAGAGAAGAGGCAATATTGAAAAGGAACCAAATAGAAACTCTGGAAATGAAAAATTTACTCATAGAGAGGCTCCTGGGTGGCTCAGTCGGTTAAGCATCTGCCTTCAGCTCAGGTTATGATCCCAGGGTCCTGCTTCTCCCTCTCCCTCGCCGCTCTCCCTGCTTGTGCTCTCTTGCTCTCTGTCAAATAAATAGATAAAATCTAAAAAAAAAAAAAGTAAGGAAGAAAGAAAGAATTTCCTCCAGAGGGAAGTTCCAGGCCAACTTACACGATGTGCCATGGGAGATATCAGGGAGAGTCACGTTATAAATACAAGACACCTAAAATACAGTGGAATCTTTATAATACTTCATAAAGAAGGAGTGACCATGAAAACCTTTGGTCCCCCCACCCTGGTTATCACATGGAAAAATACCTCTAAGGGGAGTGACACACTCTTGTTTTTTCAAAAGAATGTGTTCCAAATTTATGACCTCTCTGTGATGACAAGTGGCCATCAGTGGTCAGCCTGCAAATGCTTTCAAAATAATAAACACTCTTCACCCCTCCTTTAAGAAAAAGGTGATTGTGAAATGAGTGAGAACGCAATTCATGTTTGAAAGAGATTAGTGCGGTGGAGAGGGCATTTCGGAAGCACTTATTTGGAAATGTTTCCACTGTCACAGTGTTGCCAATAATGATACTGCCCATTAAAACAATATTCTCTTGCCCAAATTTTGATCACCTCTCTCAGTTAAGCTGAGAGTCTGTTCAAAACAGGGGAACTGTTAAAAAGAAAACCACAGGCCCAAAACAGCATCACTTAGACCAAGTCCCCAAACTTGGGCTTAATACCTAACCTAATTGCAATTTCAGCTTCCCCCAGAAATGAGTCTTAATCGGTCAGAAGGGAATTTTCTGATCAGCACCAATGAGGTCCTCTGTCACATGGGCCCTCCGTCTCCCAAAAGATGAGGTAATTGCCTAATAAGACCTCCTGCCCTTCCCCACATGGAAGGTGACCTTGCCTGGACCAGTCCTTTCTTTTGCTAATAACTTCCTTGCCCCACCTTCCTTCCTATGACAGCTTTCCACTCTGTACCCCTCCTCAGAGCTCCCCTCTACTTGCCAGGTGCTATGCTGCCCAATTTATGAATCACTTCATAAAGCCAATTAGATCTTCAAAGTTTAAAAAATAATAAAACAATGCTGTCTGCACACCTTTAAAACTCGGAAACAGGGGCGCCTGAGTGGCTCAGTTGGTTAAGCGTCTGCCCTCGGTTCAGGTCATGATCCCAGGGGCCTGGGATCGAGCCCCGCGTCGGGCTCCCTGCTCAGCGGGGAGCCTGCTTCTCTCTCTCCCTCTGCCTGCTGCTCCCCTTGCTTGTGCTCTCTCTCTGTCAAATAAATAAATAAATAAAATCTTAAAAAAAAGTTGCCCCAAATTATGTACGAGTGGGGTTAACACACGGTTTCCTCTCTTTCTCTCATCCTTGAATGCAGAAATCCACTGCTGTAGCATGAGAGACCCTGATTCACCCCCCACGGCCAGCACTGTTCCACGGAACCATGGACAGCTCATATTGTCTTTTCTCTGCCCAGCTGTACCCCCTTTCCTTACTCCCCAGCTCTCTCTCACGTTCTCTATTTTGAATGGCCCAACTGAGACTTACCATTACCAACCTTGTCCAGCCCAGAGTATAAAGTGTTCCGGCCCCCACAGATCTCACTTTTGGGGATCTTCCCCCCAAAATTTTTTTTTTCTAGTAACAGTAGAGTCTATGTAGATTAGCTGTAAATTTTTGTTGAGTTCCATGACTCACTGGGAATTCGGTGGTGGTTTCTCTTAAGGATCAGAGGAAACTACAGAAAAGGTTTCTTACTTTTAGATCTAGTGTCTATGCCTGATACCTTGAAAGCTGTGCTGTCCATCTGGACAGCTTTTTCAGATCCAAGAAGTATACCGAAATGACAGATGTCCCAGATTCATGGATGTTTCTCAAATTATAATAATTTATTGAGCACTTCAGTTATGCCAGGTGCTGTGATAAGCACTCTCAGAGATTACCTCGTCCCCTGCTCACAGATGCCCTGTGAGTTGGAGGCTGGACTGTCCCCATCACACAGACACAGGACACGTGGCCCAGGCAGGGAAGTGTCTTCCCCAGGGTCCCATGTTAGAGGCAGTAGCAAGGCCAAAGTGGTCTTAATCCTGAGATTCTGCATTAACTTCTATATCTATTAAAAACCCCATTTTCAGTTTTTAGGAACGAGTTAGCAATGTGAAAATTACTTTCCACAATAAAGAGTATGTTGTTTGAACAGGTTTCTAGAGCGTCTCGAGCCACTTGAAATTTGCGATGTGTCCCTGCGTTTCTGGATGGCTGTTAAAATGCTTACTGTACTTTAACTTGCAGGCCCAAGAAGCTAATATTGAAGGCTTTCAAGCAGTATTGGTTCATCTTTAAAGACACATCTATAGCCTACTTTAAAAATAAGGAACTTGAGCAAGGAGAACCAGTAGAAAAACTAAATCTTAGAGGTAAGAGAGTCCTACATCTGGGTATGGCTTGTCATGACCCAGCCATGAAAGCCAACCTCCTCCCCAATGAAGTAGGGCTCACTTCCAGAGGAACCTCTCTATTTCACTGGTTTCCACATGGCAGCCTGCCTGCAGCTCCCTTCCCCATGGAGCAGGAGCCTGGAATATGGTGTGATAAATGTGATTATTTGCATTCTGCTGTCCCTTCTTCCCCGGTGTGTCCAGTTCTACGAAGTGGTGGTAGTTGGTGTCATCCATGTAGTACATGAGGCATTGTAGGATCCTGAAAAGCTTTCTAAATTCCAGAATGGTTGTTTAATTCAATGTCACTTTAGTTTCTGTTCTCTTTTTTTTTTTTTTTTAAGATTTTTTATTTATTTATTTGACAGAGAGAGACACAGCGAGAGAGGGAACACAAGCAGGGGGAGTGGGAGAGGGAGAAGCAGGCCTCCCGCTGAGCAGGGAGCCCGATGCGGGGCTCGATCCCAGGACCTTGGGATCATGACCTGAGCTGAAGGCAGACGCTTAACGACTGAGCCACCCAGGCGCCCCTCTGTTCTAATTTCTGAAAGTGGCTGTGAGTGTGCTGGTAACTCCATTAACTGAAATATTTAATTAACCAGTGCACTCAATTCCCTTATCATTGTGACAGTAAGAGAATTCGCTCTACTTTGGTTTATTTAAAAGTTAATATTCATAGCTCCATGTTACTATGAGTTAGCATAGCCAAATCGACCTGGAAAATGAATTCAGTTGATGAGATACTTAAGAAAATCATAACAGAAGATATTTTCTCTTATCCATGTGAATTGTTCATGAGTCTTATTTAGTTACCCTTTAATTAATGTTGTCTGCCTGCTCCTCAGTTTTTCAGAGGAAAACCAAATCTGAAGGGCTTATGTTCAAAGTGTTTCTTTTAGATGCACACCTAATTTATATAACAGATTTCTCAGAACTCAGTTTTGTCCCTGCCTTTTATCATTCAGGCTGTGAAGTTGTGCCAGACGTCAACGTAGCAGGGAGAAAATTTGGAATCAAGTTACTAATCCCTGTCGCCGATGGTATGAATGAAGTATATCTGAGATGTGACCATGTAAGTTAAAAAAAAAAAAAATGCTAAGTCCCTTTACCTTTCTTAAGCCTAAGGACAAACCAGCTGAGATGTCTTCTCCAATGAGAACACTCATCGGTCAGTTATTGCTTTGTAACAAACAACCATAAAATCAAACGACATATACCAATAAACATTTGCCTCTGAAACATCGACGAGTAGGCCGGGGCTCAGATGATCCAGCCTCACGTCATCTGGACGGATCTGCTGCTAGCTGTAGGTCTGGCTAGGCTTGGCTCCTGGCTCACAGTTAAGCCCCTTGTATTTATTCTGGGTGCCAGGCTGCCTGGGGAGGCTCTGCTCACAGCGATGGCAGAAGTGCAAGAGAGGAATTACAAACATGGCAGACCTCCTAAAGCTTGGGCCGGCAAATAGTACACTGTATTTCCACCCACATTCCATTGGCTAAAGCAAGTCCATGGTGGGGCTCAAAGTCAAGAGGTGGGAAATTATACTCTGGCTCCAGTGAGACAGACTGTAAAATCCCATGGCAAAAACTATGGATACCAGGAGGATGAAGACTGAGGTCAGTAATTCAGTGCACCACACCAACTATTGCTCTGAAGAATTCCTCTCTTCGGCTGCATCCCCTCAGCTTCTAGCACCATGCCTCTTGGCTCCCTGAGGTAAAAAATGAACACAAGGGGCGGGGGCACCTGGGTGGCTCAGTCGTTAAGCATCTGCCTTCAGCTCAGGTCATGGTCCCAGGGTCCTGGGATCGAGCCCCACATCGGGCTCCCTGCTC